GACTTCAATTAGAGTCATTTAGGCAAGGTAGCAAGGTTTGGTTGATGGCCTATAATTCCCTTCACTTACTAGCGCAATTCAAGCAAGAATGTAACTCATCATTTCATGCGACTTCTTGATTCCGAACTTCATGAAACTTTTCCACGGGTCTAGATGGATGCATGTGGATGTAATGTACATGGAATAAGCATGTTTAACATTACTCTTGCATAATCTTAACAAGGGTCCATATGTAAGCAAATGCGCGTGGCCCAAGTTTAAGTTGGAGCTCCATCATGTAGATTTGATCTTGACATCTTGATTACCACTTGACATGTCATGTTTGAGCTCAAACCCATTGCTTAACTGGTGACAAACACCTGGGGTGTTACAATCTTCCCACGCTACGGCGGTGCTCGGGGTCTTCATCCCACACAACGGCGGTGGGATAGCGGCGCTGCAACGGGGCCCCTCGCCGATGCGCGCGTTCGCCGGAGGTTGAGCGCGCCGCCGTCGAGCGGCCCTCGGGCGGTGCCCTTGGCCCGAGCCCGAGGCGGAGACCGCACGGCGGCGAGTCCTTGCACCCGCGGTGGCTCGGGATGACTTCCCGCGTGGCGTTGAGGCGACGTCCGGCAGTGGTGACGGTGTGGGCAGTTCCCAGGTAGGAAACCCCCCTTCCTTTCCTTTCTCTTCTTCTAGGGTTAGGGTTAGGGTTAGGGTTAGAGTTAGGGTTTAACTCGATTGGATTCTCGTTCTGATTCATCTCCTTCTAAATGCTAAAACTTAGACTACCCCAAAATAGATCCGCACACCAACCTGGCTCTGGTACTATTGATAGAATTCTAGGACCATCTAGGCGTAGATCTAGTGGGTAAAACATAACTTAGATAAGGACTTGGTGATGTACCTCGCCGCATGCAGTGGCGGCCATGGCGCCGCCGTGACGTGGCCACTGATGTCGGAGTAGAAGTAGCATCGTAGTGGGGCGCGGTCCAGTGGTGGCGGCGAATGGCGCTTTCCGTCTCTCACAGCACACCCTCTCGATCGGTCTATGGTTAGGACGTCGGTGGGGCGCTGGCGGCTGCGGTGAACCTCGTACCTTACGTCCTGGCCCCCACCTTTCTCTTTATAGTGCTACGCGACGGGGGGCATCAGCCAGAAGAACGGCTGGACGCCTCCGATCAGGACGCGGATTAAGGGCACAATTGACCGTTGGGGCAACTTAGTGGAGATCAACCTAGCAGGAAGAACCTATTGACAACGATATATGTATATGTACATATGTATCTAGTGCTACTTTATTCCTGCCTTCAGGCTGGAGCTGATTTGTATCTCGATCGAGTTGATACTTGACAGCGAGCGTGTCAGTGTGTGTGTGTGTGTGTGTGATCTCTTATCATCTACTAGTATTCATCTCCCTGCGTGCCTGCGTGTGAACGATCTGTCATGTTATTTGCTGCTGAGTCGAGAAGAATTTCCTGGCTTACATATTCGCCGTTGAGTTCTTGGCCCGGTGAAGTGCAGCGGTTGGGAAGGGAATCTATTCTCCATTCACCACTGCAGTTGAGCTTTTTGAAAAGGCGAGGTAACTGGGTGGATAGAGATTAGAGAGCCGCACACAAGCAGCAAAGGTGACAAAGCAGACCGATGATCCGGGCAAGAAAAACCCGGATGCGTGAAGCGTGATGCGTGCCTCTCGGGAAAAGCAGGACCGCGCCGATCGCATCTATGTGGCCGCACGCCTTATCTCATCCATTCTTCAACTCTGGTCTCTGGAGGAAATCGCTCTCGCCTTTCGCTTCCAGTCGCAAACCACAACCGAGAGCCCCGGTCGGCGGATAGAGACACGTGCATTCGGGAGGAAATCGCTCTCGTTGCCCGGGGCTTTCGGGAGGAATTCAGTCTGGCGCCTTTGCTGCTGTTGCCCGGGGAGGCGCGCAAGTCGCAGCAGGGAGGGATGGTGATGGATGGAGAGCTCGAGACGACCATTTTCGTCTGCATGCGTTCAGACCTTGAGGGCTTGGCGGCTAGCTATGATTTCTCAGGTTATCTAGAACCCGAAGAAAAACTCGTGCACGTTTCTGACTTCTGGAATGGATGGACGAATGACGATGATGAAAAAGAACCCTGCTTGGTGCTTGCGCCAGTCGATTTCTGTGCTCTGCAGGCTACTCCAGTCTGGTAAGCGTTTCTCGCCCGTTCTGCAGCACTACTTTAGCAGTATTTTTCAGCGAATAAACAGTATTTTTCTCTCACATACAATACTACTTTAGCAGAACGAATAAACGGTATTTTTCTCTCACAACAAATCAACGTAAGCATCAACCCTAGCCAAATTTCGGCGAAACTAAGAATCTGTCGCTGGCTGCCAACGCGCTTACCAGGATCCACGCCGGATTGCTCAGTCCGCCGGCCGCCAGCCGGCGGCGCAACGGCGCGCTCCGTTTGCTCGGGTAACGAACCGCATGTTAGCGTGTGGAAGATGTCGGGACGACACCGTCGCCCACACCGACATGTGTGCTTGTCGCGGCTACGGCCTACGGGATGCGCCACGTGTCAAGCTACTGTAAAGCACAAGTTTTGCACACTACAAAATGTTTACACCATCCGAATCTGACCCTTTTACTTTTGATGAAGTGCTTTTATTTAAACCGAATTATTTTTTCCATCATCAATAGGAGCACTTACATTAAACACGGATAAAAAATAAATGTATATACGAAAAACGCCAATGTTACTCTCCCTGTAGAATAATAATATAGCAAAACATCTCTTAATGATTCCAAAATCTATATAACCCAAACTGGAGCATTATACATAAACCTAAATCATTCTGTGCCTGGTCACAGTGGATAATAAGACAACAAAATATAAACCTAAAAAATGTCTTGACCTAAGCCCAGCCCAATATATTTATCTGAATTATTTTCGTAATATAAAAACTAACGGATGATTCATCCAAGCCCAGCCAGGTCTGGCATGAAAATGACGACCCAACGCAACCCGTGGAATGATCATGGCCACAATTTTTAGGGAAAAAGTCTTTTTTACCTCTGAACTATTGGGCGGGTTCGCTTTTCCTCCCTCAGCTCTAAAACCGGGTATTTAGACTCCCTGAACTGTTAAAACCGGACATGAAACCTCCCTGTACACGAAACCACCGTGGTTTTGCCCGTGACCGCATCCGGCGTTCGTCATTTGAGTTTTCTCCTTCCTCGCTTCATTCATGTGTCGTGCGGCGGCGGTCGGCGAGCGGAGCTGAGCGCAGGCGCGCGCGGTGGCGGAGCTAAGCGCGGGCCGCAGGCACCAGGACCGAGCTCGAGCTCGTCGCTTGTTGGGTGAGTGAGATTTGGTATTTCGTACTCTTATGGATTCTGATTTTTGCTAAAGTAATTTGGTCGAAGGCAAGATAAAATCTAAAGTGTTTGCAGATAGCTAAAGAGCATTAAGTCTGGTACATCAAATAAAGCATAATGACACATAGTCTGGTACTCAAATAAAAATCACAGCTTGGCCAAGTCCCAAGGTGGAAGGAGAAGCATTGGCACATTGTGTTTCTTTGCTGGTTCTTGAGCATGGTGTTTCTTTGCTGGTTCCTGAGCAGATGCTTGAGCAGTAGCTCTAGTCTCCACCTTTGCCTTCGCTCTAGTGTGAACCAGACCTAGAGAACTTCTGTGAGGCTACAAAGATAGAAAATGTGCACATGCGAACATATTGACAATTGGTGTGTAAACTTATCAAACATTACTAGCAAGTGTATTACATGTTGCCTAATTGTAGTCGTTCCATCTGAACTTTCGGATCTGTGAGTCAAGGCTGTGTAACTCTTTCTTTTCCTTGCATTACTATCTTGCTGGGTAGATGGCACACTGAGACATTTGTATTTTGAGATGCACGAGGGACAGCAGGTTGATTAGAATGAGCAGGACCTGATTGAGCAGACTGTGCACCACCTGATTGAGCAGACTGTGCACCACCTGATTGAGCAGAGTCAGTCCTCCTTCCACAAGTGGAAGCATTGTGTCCAAAGGTTTTACATTTTCCGCACCTAATCACAAAGGCCTACCCTAGACATTTTTGTTGCTTTGGGCTTCTTAGTTGGTTCTCTTGTCCTCTCTTTCTTAGGTCGCCCAGGCATTTTAATATAACCTGGTGCCCTCAACTTTGGCCTGTCAGATATGGCCAACCTTCAATCCCTTCCAGAGGTTCAAGACAATGAGCATAAGTATTTTTGAAGTGTTCTACTCTGAAACAATCTGCAATATAGTCATCCAAAACATTGGTTTTCCAGTATATGCTAGATATTGCATGACAACATGGTAAACCGGCTAGCTACCAATACCTACAAGAACATGTCTTTTGTTGTAAGTCAACTGTGAACGTATTGTCAAAATATTTCACTTCAAACTTGTCTGCTCCATTACTAATAGCATGACAGTAGCCAGCCATTGTAATGTAAGTGTTTAGCTTTCTCATTATATGTGGGCATATGGCACCCATCCACCTATGTGCTTTGGTCCCTTGCCTTGAATCCTAATTATGACCTTCCTTCTGATTGCCTCAAGCATAGTAATGATTGGAAAAAATCTAGCTTCTACTATCCACTTATTAAATGACTCACACATATTATTATCAACTGAATCACAGTTGCTTCCTAACCTGAACCAGGCCCTGCTCCAGTGTTGTGGGTGTGTTTTCATGATTGCCTGAGCTCCTTCTCTAGTGTCTTCTCGCTAGCTTTGCCTCTTGCATGGTTGAAAAGCATAATGCAGGAGCCTTGGCACATGCCCGTAATTTTTTCGCCATTCTTTGTCACCAACTCTTTTTTCCAATTGGCATAAATATGTCTTGCATAGTTCCTCATGTTCCGCCTCTGGTGCCCATTTCTCAACAGCATTGAGAATATCTTTTTGCTAGTCTGAAATGAATACCTAGTCCCTTCCATCACCAACCTGAATGTCTCTGCACAACAAGTCACAGAACCTGTCCCAATTGACATTATTTTCCTTGTCTACCACAGCTCAGGCAATGGGATACATCTGATTATTTGCATCTCTTCCAATAGCACAAAGAAGTTCCCCACTCAGTGCTCCTTTAAAAAAACAACCATCTAATCCAACAACTTTCCTACACCCTACCATGAATCCCTCCTTGCAAGCATTAAGGCATATGTACATCCTTCTAAAAAATGGTGGCTCCACATCATCCTCCTTGTTAATTACAACCGTGCTCCTAGGATTGCTCCTTAATAATTCCAGTTGATAGTCATAAAGCCTTTCATATTGTCCCTTTGTCGCAGCAAAGGCCTTCTGAATCACCATAGCTTTTGCTTTCTTCACTTTGGATATGCTTACATCTGCAAACATTTCTTCTTGGATAGTACTCTTCATCTTCGTGATATTCCATGTTGGGTTTGCCATGATAAACTTCTCGTACTTCTCAGCTATCCTCCTGGTAGTGACATGCTTGTTGTCCATTCTAGGAGAACAAGTATGCTGATCAATGAATGTAGCAATCTGCCAGCTGTCTGTTCTTGAATTCTTAGAACACAAACAAACCCAAGGACAATGCTGCCAGTCGCATTTAGCCCTTACCCTTGTTGGTTCATCTTTTATGAACCTTATTAACTTTCTGTTAGCTAGACAATATTTTATGATAGCTTCCTTGAACTCCTTCTTGCCACTGAACTTCATCCCTATTTCAAATATAGGAACTGAAACTGTGCATTGAACCTCCTATAATGACTTGGCTTTCTTCTCAGTTCCCCATCAGTACCAACCTCTTCAACTGACTCTTCATCATCACTTTCCTCATATGTTGTTCCATCTTCTTCCCCTTTAATGGCTAAATATTCTGTTAGCTGTGATCTGTTCTCTGCAAGAATGATATCATCTAGTGTAGCATGTTCTCCTTTCTTCAACTTCTTCAATTCTTTGAATTTCTTTAGAATCTCAGTGGCTTCTTCATCATCTCCAGATGAGCATGTATCTCCTATGAAATCACTGTCATAGCCTGAGCTTGAATCTTCTTCCTGAATTGCTTTGCCTTTCTTCTTGTATGTACCCTTCTCCTTATCGTTAGACACTGAAATAACAGATGGCTCTTCAACATATATATTTGCAACTCCGTTGTCCATAATGGAGTCAGACATGAACCGGCAAACTTTGTCATCCACCAGTACACGCAAACCATCATGTAGCTCTTTACCAGGAAATAACCAATGCAATAAAACTCCATCATGTACATTGTAATGATCACGCAAGCGTCCCACAACCTCTGGCAGAGAAATCTTGTCTCGATCAATATAAGACATTGCAGCATTCCCCCTAAAGTAATGCAGTATCTTGCCATCTTTGAAAAACTCTCCACCAAAACGGAACCTCACAGCCAGTGAGTCCGACACATCCATGACCTACATACATTAAAAAAATAATACGCCTTCATTAATCCCACTGAAGGGCAGGCTTGGTGCAGTGGTGAGAGTTGTCTCACTGAGTCACCAGGTCATGAGTTCGAAGCAGTCTCTCCGTATATTTTGTGGAGGAAAGGCTTGCCTCGATTTTTCCCTTCCCCAGACCCCACTCATGTGGGAGCCTCCAGCACTGGATCTGCCCCTTCATTAATCCACTAATGTAGATGCAAGTAAAGAGCACCCAAAAAACACTGGTAGCTCTCGTCTCCTATGCCTAATAAACAATGGATCTCCAAAAAGCAAGTCCCAGGGAACCAGATCCAAGAAAAAAAACAATTATTCTATGCCTAATTGACTCATTAGGAGTGCGATTCCACAAACCTGGTGCGCTTTGTGGCAGCAAAGGCCTTCTGAATCCTCTAGACACCCACCAGATCCGCCTACTGCAACAGCACGTGCGCACCACCCACCAGCCGCCCGCCTCCGAGGGAAAAGAAAAAGAATCCCAGCTTGGGTTACAGGTGGTCACGGGCACATTTTGACCGCCCTCAATGGCCTGACAAGCGGTACAAGGAGGTTTTGTGTCCGGTTTTAACAGTTCAGGGAGTCTAAATGCCCGGTTTTGGAGTTGAGGGAGGAAAAACGAACCTGCCCAATAGTTCAGGAGGTAAAAATGACTTTTTCCAATTTTTAGGCATGAAATGAATGGGCTTTCTTCGGCCCAGACTAAAAATATGCTCAGGTCTAATTATGACAGCGTACATTCTTAATCCCATAGTGCAGAATGTATAACGATTTGGAACTATTATCAGTTCGTATTTGACATTATTCTGTTTAACGACAGAAAAATAGCCAATGGCATAAATCTGTTCGAAGACAATAAATTAGCCAAATACCTCACATCTACGATACACGGCTTCTTGCTGTAGGCAAACAAACAGGCGAGACAGATGATGTTTGGGGGCAGGAAAGCAACAACAGAGATCACAAACGATATCCTTTGTACACCACAGCTACATACACGGCATGTTTGTCCCTCATGTAAGAGATCTACTTCGGAGAAGTGAGTTTGTTAGGGTCGTTATCGTGCTTCAGCGAAGAGTCTCCACTCACCAATTCATGGAAAGCTTCTACTTTCACAGGCGGCATTCGCATGCCATAAGCACTCCTGCCAGGAAATCATGGGTTAAATCAAATGAAAATACAGGAGTTGTCAAAACAACGGCTTGTGCAGTTGATCTTACATTGATGGGACCTGTTTGAACTGCTGTGCTAGTTGTGCATTCTGATTTCCTGACATGGTCATCTGCTGCTGTTGCTGCTGAAGTTGTTGCTGGTTAAGTTGCTGCTGCTGTTGAAGGTGCTGCTGCTGATGTAGATGCTGCTGTTGATTAAGCTGTTGTAGTTGCTGCTGCTGAGTGAGATGCTGCTGCTGTTGTTGCAGTTGCTGCTGATTAAGCTGTTGTTGGTGCTGCTGCTGCTGGAGCTGCTGGAGCTGCTGCTGTTGAAGTTGCTGCTGCTGCTGATGCAATAGTTGCTGCTGCTGCTGCCTCATATTAAATTGCTGTTGTCTAGTAAAAGATCCATACGGACCATCCGTTTGAGAATCCATAGTGTTCTCTACCTTCACATTTACCATAGGCTGGTTCTTGTCTGCCATCGTAAGAGGACCACGAGGGCTGCACAACTGGCTGCGCCTAAGCCACTGCTGCTGTTGTGGTGTCAAATTCTGAAGCTGCTGCTGTTGCTGCGGTGTCAAATTCTGAAGCATTTGCGGAGGAAGCTGCCTTGGAAGCTGACAATTGTGGATATATATATATATATATATATATATATAGTGTCAAAACGAATGGGAACAACATAAAACAACATTGTCATGCTCTCAAAAAGATTTCAAAAACTGATAGTAGTCTCAATCACGAACAGCTATATTTATGTAGAAAAGTTATATCATTATCATACCTGACAACAGAAATTTCAGGAAACATTTGTTTCAAACAGCTTAGGTAGTTGAAAGAATTATGAAATATAAATTCCAAAGAATAAACAACAACAACAACAACAACAACAAAGCCTTTAAGTCCCAAACAAGTTGGGGTAGGCTAGAGTTGAAACCCAACAGAAACAATCAAGGTTCAGACACGTGAATAGCTGTCTTCCAAGCATTCCTATCTAAGGCTAAGTCTTTGGGTATATTCCATCCTTTCTAGTCTCCTTTTATTGCCTCTACCCAAGTCAACTTCGGTCTTCCTCTCGCCTCTTTCACGTTACTATCCTGACTTAGGATTCCACTACGCACCGGTGCATCCGAAAGGTCTCCGTTGCACATGTCCAAACCATCTCAACCGGTGTTGGACAAGCTTTTCTTCAATTGACGCTACCCCTAATCTCTCACGTATATCATCGTTCAACTCGATCCCTTCTTGTATGCCCGCAAAATCCAACGCAACATACGCATTTCCGCGACACTTAGCAATATGTCGTCTTTTAAGTGGCCAACATTCTGCACCATACAACATAGCTCTAATCGCCGTCCTATAAAACTTGCCTTTTAGCTTACATGGGTACCCTTTTGTCACATAGGACACCAGACGCTTGCCGCCACTTCATCCACCCTCGCTTTGATTCTATGGCTAACATCTTCATCAATATCTCCATCCCTCTCAGAGCATTGATCCTAAATATCGAAAGGTATCCATCCTAGGCACTACTTGACCTTCCAAACTAACATCTTCCTCCTCCCGAGTAGTAATGCGAAGTCACATCTCATATACTCGATTTTTAGTTCTACTAAGTCTAAAACCTTTGGACTCCAAAGTCTCCCGCCATAACTCCAGTTTCGATTCACTCTGTCCGGCTTTCATCAACTAGCACTTCATCGTCATGAAAAGCATACACCAAGGATGTCCCTTGTATGTCCCTTGTGACCTCATCCATCACTAAAGCAAACAAATAAGGGCTCAAAGTCGACCCTTGATGTAGTCCTATCCTAATCGGGAAGTCATCCGTGTCTCCATCACTTGTTCGAACTCTAGTCACAACATTGTTGTACATGTCCTTAATGAGCCCGGCGTGCCGTTGGGACTTTATGTTTGTCCAAAGCCCACCACATAACATTCCTTGGTATTTTATCATAAGCCTTCTCCAAGTCAATAAAAACCATGTGTAGGTCCTTCTTCTTCTCCCTATACCGCTCCATAACTTGTCTTATTAAGAAAATGGCTTCCATGGTTGACCTTCCTGCATGAAACCAAATTGGTTCATAGAGACCAGCGTTATTGCTCTCAAGCGATGCTCGATAACTCTCTCCATAGCTTCATAGTATGGCTCATCAACTTAATTCCCCGGTAATTTGTACAACTTTGAATATCCCCTTTATTCTTGTAGATCGGTACCAATATACTTCTCCTCCACTCATCAGGCATCTTGTTTAATCGAAAAATATGGTTGAACAACTTGGTCAACCATACTAAATGCCTATGTCCCCGAGGCATCTCCACACCTCGATTGGGATACCATCCGGTCCCATCGCCTTACCTCCTTTCATCCTTTTCAACGCCTCTCTGACCTCAGATTCTTGGATTCTCCGCACAAAGCGCCTATTGGTGTCATCAAAAGAGTCATCCAACTGAAAGGTTGTGTCCATATTCTCACCATTGAACAATTTGTCAAAATACTCTTGCCATCGATGTCGGATCTCATCCTCCTTTACCAAGAGATGCTCCCTTTCATCCTTAATGCACTTAACTTGGTTGAAGTCCCGTGTCTTTCTCTCACAAACCCTAGCCATCCTATAAATGTCCTTCTCTCCTTCCTTCGTACTCAAAAATGTTGATAAAGATCCTCGATCGCTCTACCCTTTGCCACACTTACATTTCTTTGCGTTTGTACTTCTCTATGTTGTCCACACTCTGTCCATGGTACAAGCGTCTATAGCATTCTTTCTTCTCCTTAATAGCCCTTTGGACTTCCTCGTTCCACCACCAAGTGTCTTTAGCCTCGCGTCCCCTTCCTTTGGTTACTCCACACACCTCTGAGGCTACCTTCCGAATGTTGGTTGCCATCTTGTCCCACATATTGTTTATGTCGTCTTCTTCCTTCCAAGAGCCCTCTTTGATAACCCTTTCCCTAAATACCTCTGACGTCTCCCCTTTCAGTTTCCACCACTTTGTTCTTTCAATCTTAGCTTGTTTATCCCTACGGGCACGCACCTGAAAACGAAAATCTGCCACCAAAAGCTTATGTTGAGAAACAACACTCCCCTGGTATCACCTTGCAATCCAAGCATGCTCGTTTGTCCTTTCTTCTTGCGAGGACAAAGTCTAAACATACTAGAAAATTTTCTCATCGTTGTGCTGACTGATCAATTGCTGTTGTTAACTGGGGCCGCGTTTAGTTCAGCGCAGAATCGGCGCCGCCGGAATTCGCCGGTACTGTTCTGGCACTGTAGCATTTCGTTTGTATTTGGTAATAATTGTCCAATCGTTGACTAATTAGGCTTAAAACGTTCGTCTCGCAAAGTACAACCAAACTGTGCAATTAGTTTTTGATTTCGTCAACATTTAGTACTCCATGCATGTACCGCATGTTTGATGTGACGGGGAATCTTCTTTTTGCATAGTGCCAAAATTTGGATTCTGGGGTAACTAAACAAGGCCTGGATATTCAAGACCAGGCTGGTTTCATAGAACTCTACGGTTCAGCGGGTAAATAAAATGTTAGCATGAAACAATTCTCTGTTAAAAATTCATTTGGGCAGTCAATCCTATGCTGGCTCAAATGTATGGAATATCAAAATAGGCGTTAACTGAGAAAGGGTCCACAAATGGCAGTCCTCGTTTTTAATAGTTACCAATGTTGTCATTCTTGCAGAGTTTCATATGGTTCTTGCACTAAAGGGATCTATTTCAGAATTCAGAATATTCTTTGAACAGCAAATCTATAATATGGAAGACATCTGAGCAGGGCGTGACCAAATCAGGCAGATTTAAGCTAAGCCACTACGGCACTACCTGACTAGTTCCTCAACAAAAATAACATCAACCAGGACCATTAGTTTTCATTGGTAAGTGATAACCAGCATACTACACTTGTGTTGGGGTCCAAACCAGATTGAGAGTTTAAACAGAGTTCCTCTGAATTCCAGTTTGTAGAACGATGGTATCTTGTATGTGCCATCGATATTGACAACTAAGCAATATCCAGTTATTCACTCCCATCAATTGACTCAAGAGGCAGGTGGCCTAGATCACCAAAGGGCCTATTTATGGCTACATCCACTCACTCTTAGTTATGGATAGATGCAGGATGAGCAATTTTTTTCAAACTAATAGAACTATTCTTCTCAAGAAGAAATTTTACATATGCAATAGAAAACAAAATTACTGAACATAAACCAAATTGCAAGTATGGCTACCTGCTGTGCATGAAGGGAATTTGCATTTTGTGTCTGAAGAACTTGTGCATCTTGATGAATGGGGTAGTTGGCCACTCTGTTCCCCATCTTTGTGATCTCCATCAAGGGTCCAATGTTACTACATGTTACATAAAAATCACAATCAAGACTTCAGGCCGCTATTTTAATGTGTCTCTGCAATCATGACTAGTATAGAGTGAACCTACATCAAGATGTCCAGCTATGTATGTCTGGTTATTTTAGCCTTTTGGAGTTAAGGTTCACTCTATACTAGGGCAAGGTAATATATTATGAGCCCCAACCCACAAACCAGTAGATTAGCACTGAAGAGCAAGAAGCTAGTACTACGAAAGACAGCACGAAGATAACCATTACAAATCTCAAAACTGATAGTACAGGTCCAGATTCCCCAGTCAGTTGTTTCGAATGTGAAAGAGCGAGTCTCCTCTGAAAGCTTGCTGGAGAGGTGTTAAGAATTAAGATGCCATGGGAAATTTGGTCATGTGGACCTGTAAAATCAGTTTGTGCAGGAGTGTCTAAATTGTGCCTGGGCTCTGTCAAATAAAGATGGACAAAAGACAACCCATTTTCCTTTCCCATTTCCAAGTTCAACGTGAATCGAATTGGATGGAACATAAGGCAAGGATGTAAGTCATAGCTACAGGGATATAACTTTTGGTGTGGAAATGCATCTGATTTCTCCAATTCAACTTCACCTTTTAGTTATACATGATACTTACAATGTGTTACATTACCAAAGAACTTATGATAAGCTCTTTGCTCTATTCTAGTGGCATCTATCAAAAAAATCCCTATCTACAGTGGACTGTGATACTATCAAAATAGTTGTAACAGAAATCATATGAATCAGGGTATAAACTCTGATATGGATTATCAAGCCAGTTGTACAGTAATACCCTGTGAGTTCCCACCAGAAAGGTATAAAGTATAAACACTGAAAAGGGCAAAACAAATACAATATGGAGAGATACACACATACATAATAAAATTGGCATACCTGTACCCAACAGTTTGTAGGAACATTTTAAGGAGTTCAATTGATGAAAATTGCTTCCTGTAGCTGTCAGTTAGAAGCTTCAAGTTGCGTCCCAGTTTACATATATGCTTAATTATTATTTCTGAAAGAACATCAATAGAGACTGCAGTTCCACTTGCAAAACCTGAATTTGCTAAGTAGCGAGCAACCAACTTTTTGGTCATGAGCAATGCTTGCTCTTGGCTTAAAGATTTCCCTTCTACTCTAGATCCATCTTTTCCTCTATATTTGTTTCCTGTCTTGTAATATTCAGGCACCATGCCAAACCTTTCAAGCATTGCAGTGTTGCGGTTAACTGGTGCTGGTAAATTATCAAGAACCCCATGAACTTCTATTTTGTTGGCCCTAGATATCCCACTTGTTTTAGGAATTGCGCTTTCTGGAACACAGTCAGATGGAAATCTAATTTCTGGAATTAATTCATCTGTTGAATTGCTGAATTCCCCAGCATTCTTTGAGTGCAGGGAAGGGCCATTTTCCAACATGGGAGGAGATATGCTGGGATCATCCATAAACACAGCCCTCTTCCTTTTATGTATACTGCAAATCTTAAGATAGTCAGACATTCCCTCTGGTGTTCTCTTTGGTATTTCTTTGTCACCAGAGCGAACCTTGCTGTGCCATGTCCTGAATTTGTCGGCATATGGCTTGTACCATGTGTGAGGCAATTCTTCATACCGATTATGCCTTTGAGACAACATGGAACCGTCCCTGCTTGGACTGAACGTTGTTCTAGAATACACCTGCAGCACATGGAAAGCCTTAAAGCATCATAATGTAGCAGATGAATTGATGCCATATTTGGTTAGCATGCCAGGATTGAAACTATGCCATATAACAACAGAATCCAAAACACATAATGAGCAATTAAGGACCACACTCAATGGTCAGGGATGTGATTCACATGACTTAAGATGCATGGCATGAAATTAAAATTGACACAGTGACGGCATACATTTGATTTTACCCAGGAGACTGCAAGCTGTAGAAAGATAAGTTCCAACATTTCATTGTCCAATAAAGAACCTAAGAACTAAATTAATACATCATAACCAGCCCAGCAGCAATATTGTCCAGGAGTTTTTTCAGTTAACAGGCAGATTCATAATCTACAAACGAAATTAATGACAATAGCACCTCTAGGAGGAAAATAATAAGTGAGCCTAGCTCAATTGGTTGGGATGGAATGGAAGGTGTGGTCATGCATCCCAAGTCCCAACCACCACCCAGGCTCGAGAAATCTTCAACTCGAATTTGGGCGCCCATTTTCTTCTTGATGAAAACATGATGTAACAATTACCATACCACAAATACACAATGAACATGTGACAGAGATGTTTATAACAACAAAAATAATTTAGGTCATCTGAAATCAAACAAGACACTGTTGCATAGAAGAAGCACATTACTAGAGAAATCAGGACAAAAAATCCATGAAGGGTTAAAACAAAGTTTTTGTCCAGTAATAACAAAAATAAACTTGAAACAGGAAAGGGATAACATACTTGATGTTGAGCGTTATCTTCCTGCTCATCTTCCAAAGAGAAATAAATATCATCTCCATGAAGTCGCAGATCTGAAAATAACAAACCGGAAAATATCAATCAGCCAATTGATTTAGAATCCGTCTGTTTATGTCAAAATGACGTCATTTACACATGTTTACTACTGCACATGCAAGTTTCCAGCTTCCAAGAAAGAGGGCATGGATATTTGGTATTTGCGTAATTCTAATTAAACTAAATGGCCACAGGTAGGAAAATTTAGCATTGGATACTAAAACATAATCAAGACAAAAGTTTCAGAAGGAACTAAATTTCCCAGGTAGGTTGCACATAGATATAATAAGAGCAACATCATTTTTACATAAAGAACCTTGTACATTAAGTTATGTATATTAATCGATCTAAGTACCATGTAAATCACATGCTAATTACTAGTGCTGTGGCGGTACAGTTAGTAAAGTATGTGAATCGATTCTTAAAAGTCGTCTCTTGCTATCCAAATTGAATCCAGCAATCAGGCAGTGTTATTAGAAGAGTCTGTCTAGTCAACACTCGGGTGTGGGGAGCCCTCCCCACAACCGGTTTTTTTACCTGCAGCGCCACGCGCCGCCGCCCGCCGCCCTACTGCGCCCGCGGCGACCTCCTCCTTCCCATTCCCCTGCCGCCGCCATGGCCATGGTCACCCCCGCCCCAACCCCACCCCGCCGCCCGCTCCGGCGGCGTCACCACCTCACTGCCGTCTCTCCCGTCCCCATCTCCAGGCCTGCCTACCTCCCCCAGCCCCCTTTCTAAGCCCACCGGAGATGGAGAAGAAGAGAGGGAGAGGAAGAGAAGAGAAGAGAAAAATCGAGTGTTGGATTGCCCCCAAAACACTCGAGTGTCATTTAGCATTTCTGTATTAGAATGGGTGCCAAAGAATAAGAAAAAAAGGATCGCAATAAATGACACAACATAATGCCTTACAGTCTTGCATGAAGCCTGACATTTATGAGATGCCAGTAGAATGTTTACTAGCACAGAAAAAAAAACATGCATAGTCCAACTGTATTTAAGCGAAGAACAAATTGCACAAATAGTAACACAATGAAGGGTAAATTAAAGGCAGCAGCTCCTGAGTAACATGAGGTTCAATTTCAGGAAGGAGGAATAACTGTCTGAACCAAGAAGAGTAGTATGTCCGACATGGCTATAAAGTGTCCTGGAAGATCTGTTTGGTTCATGCTAACTAGTGTGGTAGATGGCACCCGAGGCTTATGTCAGATGACCAAAATGGAAGCCTATAATTGGTTGAACATTACAAAATCTTTTGCTTGACAAGAATGTAGAATGGGGGGGAGAGGAAGAGAGTCCGTAGTTCATTTTGGACTTTGAAGCGCAAGAGGGAAACAAGAGGTCAGGCTATGGAGATCATTGTTTCTTGTAATCATATGTTTATAGTTTCTGGAATCATGAATTACCACAAACAAACATAGGTCTGGCTATGAAACAATCAGGTGTTTCTAAGCCATTCAGCATCCAATTATTTTGAGCCATCGAATGAAGATCGAACAGCTTAGGTCCATCTTCAACCTCTAGACATTCTTCTTCCTCCTAGCTTTCATTGCGCGGCAATGAACCAATCGATCATGTGACGCCACTAATGCACGCATCCTCCCATCTCCGCCTGCGGCTCACAGGATAAGCCCCCGCACCGGCACCACTCAACAGGACTCCACCTCCCGCAACCGGCAAGCTTCGTCACCTCACTGGCCCATGCCCATCTGGCGCGCATTACCACCGCCCCACCAGCTTGCTTCCCCGGCCATATCTCTAAGCCTGAGCATTGCAGGAATTTCGCCGGAGCCCGAATCACCAAAACCCTGAACCTAACTCGAATAGCACAGCACAGAAGCGCCATGGTTGGAGAAGGTCTACTATGTTGAAGAAGCCCGTCTCTGGAGAACAAGTTGTCTCCAAGCTTAAATTGCTGCACAGATTGGCAACACCCAAATGTGCCAGGGACAGCTGAAACACTCAACTGAGTTTTAGGATTCCCCAACTTTATATTCTAAAATGTTACAAAGAATGAGTGAATCATGTCCTGTCAAGCGCTAGCTGATCCTAAGCTAGGGAAAGATAGGCAGGTTTAGTAAATGACAAAAGTATGAGCCTACTAATTTCCATAACAATTCACAGTAGCATTTTAAGCCACAATGACAACAAATCTCAGACACTATGACAGCAGCCTCAATCATGCCCGCAGTGGCCTCTGACTACTAACATTTTCGCCCTCAGATTCGAACCGGTTGGAGAGGTAAACTTACTCCAGCCGCCACCTACGGAATACCTGAACGATTAACCTAGAACAACATGCAGCTTACTCCTGCATTGAAACTGACTGCAAAATTCAAGCCCACTGGGATTGCAGAGCAACAGATCCCTAACCCCAGCAGTGGAATGGCGGAAGCAGCAGGCCGAGCTTGCTGGCTGCACTCACAGTTAACGTTGATGGAATGGAGGCTGACTGGGGCCCCGCCGCGGGGGGGCAGGAGGAGCGCGGCCGATGCCTTGTCGAAGAGGAGCGCGCGGACGCGGAGCTGGAGGAGGAGGAGCGGGCGCGGGGGCGGCGATGGGGAGGCCGCGGGGTAGAGGAAGGCGTCCCAGGTTGCTGGGGACGTGAGGTGCTGCGCGAGCGCGGCGTGCGCGGAATCGTCGCCCAGCCACTCGCGCCACGCGCCGCACGCCTCCAGCCGCCGCGCGAGCTCGTAGCCACGCCCGTCCTCGCCCAGCAGCTGAGCAGCGGCCGCCGCCATCCGTGCGGCGATTGGGTCGCCTGTTCGGGCCGGTCCGCGCGCCGGGATCTCAGTCGTCAGCGTCGCTCGCGGTGGGTTCTTCTGGTCCGGAACTTGGACGCCGGCCAACCGTACCGAAGGAGGAAGGCGCAGGTCGTGGTCGCCTGGCTGCTCCACCGAGTGGATTATCCGTCCCAAAATTTCAGCCCACCAGGCCGAGCCATTCTGTGATGCCACTTTTTTTTTACTTAAAAGTTAAAACGATGTTTTTTTGTCCAAAAATACATAGTTCTCTCATCTCTGTCAAAAATATTGGTCTGTCACGGGGATATTTGCGGCGCGTCAGTCCTTTTTTAGTTGCACTAATAAGCTAAAATATAACATGTGATCAGTGGCTACGTGAGTTTGGTTTCAGGACTTCCTCGATGCTCCAGCTTGGTGTCCTGCCTCGGCGTCTATGTCCACACCGGACCTCCGTTTCATAATAGACTGTAGTCTCTCAGAGTATCACAGGTTCTTGTAGAAGAGTTCATAGCTTCATCAAACAAAAAAAAAAACACAAAATAGCAATAGGGCTTATTGCACCCTAGATGACGTCTGGTAGCTCAGGACCATGACAGAGAGAGAAATACATGGTAACTGATTATAAGAACAGAGATGGGGGCCATGGAGTAGTGGGACCAGAGGGGAGAATATGGCAATGTGCCTTGGGTTTTTTACAAGCAATGTGCCTTGGGTTGGGAAAATATTAACAAGTTTTTTGTGCGGTTAGTGGCTACTGATGTTGTGTGCCCGCATTGTTGCTGCCCTCGGGTGGAATTAGTTCCTCCATCTTAATGTGGTCCCTAACAATTAGATCCCATGCTTAGATCTCACATGTTAGTGACCATGTCGAAGAGACATTATGTTGGAATTTTTAGCTCTGGAAAAATATGTGCCAATCAGTATATTTTCTTTTAATTGGTGAATATTCACTACACTCTCACATATTATTCGTTTTCAACCACGTTTTGCATTAGCATGTTCCTTTTGACAAGATGTACAGATAGTAATCAAATTCGAATAAGTTTATCGGTCATTTAATTTGTATATGGTCTGCCTGCAAGCAATTAAACTAATTTTTTATGTTCGTAAATTGCTACCATATATCTAACACAAAGTTGCTACCTAACATTAGAGTTATTACCAAACCTACAACATATGTTGTCATACAACTTTTACACAAAGTTGCTATATAATCTAACTAGTGGCTTGGTTGCTCGTATATAAGTTATTTCTCATGCAATCATGTTCAACAAAAAATGGTTCTAACAACCCGAAATATTATAAACAACTCGTTATCAAGTTGGCAACAACTAATTCAACAATTAAAGTAAATATTGCTATATAGTAACATGAGTACACCTCACGAATTTATGCAAACACTTTTATATGATATTTATACATAATAACTTGTTTGGCTACACACCAATCCACATGGGTAGGGAGATACTGGGGTCGAAAATTAATTAATTTGGTGTGCAACCAAACAAGTTCTAAGTTGATAGTACATATTATAAAGTTAAAAATCTATGTGTTATGGATCTCATTCCGTTGGCCTTACCAAATAGAGGCCAAATGTTCAACAAGACCTAAAACCAACATTACTTGCAAAAGCCGCCATCAATTGAAGAACCTGAAACCAAATAACCAATGTCATTTTCATAATGGCCTATTCCTACCATCCTGAGTGTTTTGATGCCCTAATTATTGAAACCTTTTGCATTAAGGAAGGAGAAGAGGTGGGATATAAGAGTCACACTATCGGTAGCTATCGTAGCCCAAAAATAATATTATCTCTTTGTCTTAAAATAAATCAATTCTAAGAATCATCCTAAGTCAAATTATCTTAGATCTCATTTGGATCCATTAGCTATTAGTAGTTAGCTAGCTAATAGGCCACAACTAATATTAGCAGCTATTAGCTAGTTTTGTCCAGCTAATGTAGTTTTGATACTCAGCTAATAATTAGCTAAACTATCGGTTAGACATATTTAGATTCAAAGTCTAACTATTATCTCTTTGGATCCAAACAGGGTCTTAAGCTGACCAACTTTATAGGAAATGGTAACAATATCTATGACATCAGATAAGTATATTATGAAAATATATTTCATGATATATCTAGTGATACCAATTGATATCATAAATATTGGTTCTTTTTTATAAAGCCGATCAAATTAAAAGTAGATTGATTTAGAATAACTCTAAAAGTTGATATAATAATTTGGGATATAGGGAGTATGAATTTACATGAAGTTTGGAAGGAATTTAAAGTATCCTAATGCAAACTTCACATTGAGCTTACAATAAATAAGCCATCATAAAGTACTATTAATTTTTTTAAAGTCCAGACACACGGCTGTTAGGATGGGTTACGGTGCGGTGTGGTGTGGTGTGGTGCATAGAGGGTTATAGTATCTAAGAGTCTTTCTAAAATTTACTTTTTAAATCATCGTTTGAAAGTCATTTGCGTAATAATCACTTTTTATATCTTTGTACCTTTTGACAACTTTTCTAAATCTTTTGCGCGCTCTAGAGACTCATTCTCGCTCTCTATCTTTGGCTAGCAAGAAATTTGAAATAGAAGATGTCTATCTCTATCTCTTTTCTTCTCTACACCTAAAAAGGCTCTAACATCATCATCTACCCAATGATACAAAAGTCTCAATACATGATTACACGTTCGTGTCCGATACAAATCCTCCCCCGCTTGGAGCTCACGTGTCTACTTCATCCGGTTCCGATACGAAAAACAGATCCACGTGTCCGATATAAAATCCTTAAGCTCACGTGTTCGCATCCCACACGGAGGTTAAGTCAAAAATCCTGACCACGCACGGGCATGTATAGTCTGGTACCACCTAAAACGTATGGAGCACTTTCGTCAAACCAAATTTGGTGCGTCCGTCCCAAACTGGGCCCACACATGGATACGGACTCTCCCGTCAAAAAAAAACAAAAAAAAAAAGCGCCTGATCAGGTAAAAAAACCGACTCTAGCTGTCTCCGGTAAAAGAACGATAAATAAACAAAATCACCGGATCAGGTATATACTTTGGAAAAAAATGATCTACAAACGGACTGTCTCCGGTAAAAAAACAAACAAACAAAATCACCGGATCATACTCTGGCAAGTACGCTCCTTCCTTGGCCAGCGCTACTACATTCGTACCCATCACAAACGGTTCATAAAACCCATCACTAACGTTTTTTTCTCGGCAATAAGTTGTCAGTGGTGATGACATTCTCATCTTCATATTATCATCCGGCGGTGATTTGAATTTTCAAAAATCTCAAAAACAGGCAAAACAAATAGCAAAAAAATTTGTTTTAATCCTGGAAAGCCCCCCACCAGTTCTAACTCCACGCTATTTTTCATGGTACGCGGTGATGCTAGGATTCAAACATGATATCTTAGTTCTTAGCTCCTCTAATCACTCTCCTCTAACCACTTCAACCCTAAGTCACTTGTGTCTATATAGCATATCCATTCGCTTAGTATTCATTTTTTAGATTTAAAATGAATATTTAGGACCCTAAACATCTTCAAATGAAAAAAATCATAAACTATAAATTTATTGTTCTAATCGAGATCTACAATTTTGGTTTTGATTGTTTCGCCATCCGAGGTCGTTCGATAAATTTGAATTTCAAAACATCAAAACTTTAGCAAGACTTTTGGGACTTCAAATGATTTCAAATGAAAAACTCATCAACTACAAAGTTGTTATTCTCATCGAGATCATACACTTTGGTTTTTGTCGATTTTTCATCCGAGGTTGTTTGAAAAATTTGGTTTTTTAAAATTTTAAAACTTCAGATACAAATTTGAGACTATAAATGATTTCTAATGAAATAGTTGTCAACTACAAAGTTGTATATCTCATTGAGATCTATAACTTTAGTTTGGGTCGTTTTCCGTCTAGGGTTGTTTGTACAATTAAAAAAATTGAATTTCAAAATTTGAGCGCTTCAAACAAAATTCTAGGACCGTACATGGTTTCAAATGAAAAGGTCACCGACTACAAAGTTGTCGATTGCGTCGAGATCTACAACTTTGATATAAAGTTTATTTTCATCTGATTTTATTTAAAAAAGTTATGAATTTATTTATACTGCAACATGGTTATCACCGCCATATCATACAACGAGCTAGCGGTGAAAATGTCTTCAACGCTGGTTCATATGGCGAGACGACAGTGATGAGGAGCACATCATCACCATCGGCTGATGGTACAAATCAGCTGTGATGATAGACTATTACCATTGGTTGATAAGATGAAGCGACGATGATAGTTATCGACCTGGACGTTCTTGCGAACCTAATACTCTCGTCACCGACGGTTCATATTACGAACCATGTTACCGGCGGTGTTAGATGCGTAGGTCCGCACCATGCGCACCATCGCGGCCCACACGGCGGCGGGCAAGTCCATACGTGTCGTCAATATGTCAGCAGCATGGCGTCGCAGACGGGGAATTCGCCTGGCACGTCGCGCGCCAGGCCGATGACCCTCCGTTGGACTGTCGGTACCCCCCATGGGGTCCGGGTGCGTGAAGGCCTGGAAGTACCATGGCAAATGTACCTGATCCCACCTTTTGAGCACCCCACTGATGAGAAGCATCATCGGCTGCTTACTTAAATCAACGTCGACACGTCGTTGCGGGCCTCCATGGGAGAAGAATGGAATGATACAGAGTCATGGCAATAAAAATCAGCTTCGACTTCAGTTTATCACTGAATATCAGAAGATTGATTTAGTTCTGAAAGTTGCGTTACTTAAATCTGCAAAGGAATTTGTAAAGGTCATTTATACATGAAAGAGAAGAATGGAATGATACAGAGGGATTTGAAATAAAAATCAGATTGTTAGTTCAGTTTATTCATTACGTGCCATATCAGTTTAACACACACAGTCAAGAATTATTGTGGTACTATTTTTTCCAGTGTAATGCATGGGCAGTTGTTTTTATAAAAAA